CTCTGCCTTGAAGGGGCCCGGCGGCGCCGTGACAAAAAACCTGAGCTCGGCAGCGCTCAACCCCAAAATTTTTGTCACGCGCCCTCCGCGCCTTGGGGGGGCCCCGCGGCGCTGTGATAAAAAACCCGGGGTTCGGCAGCGCCAAACCACAACAATTCTGCCGTAGAAGGGCCCATCGACGTCGTGAAAAAAACCTGGGCTCGGCAGCGCGAAACACCAGGATTTGCGTCACGGCACCCCCCTGCCTTGGAGGGGCCCCGCGGCGCCGTGACAAAAAAACTTGTGTTCGGCAGCGCCAAACCTCAGGATGTGTGTCACGGCGCCCCCCTCTGCCTTGGAGGGGCTCCGCGGCGCCGTGACAAAAAACTTGTGTTCGGCAGCGCCAAACATAGGGAACCGAACTCTATACACCGACGCTTGTTTCGGGCCCTGCACTGAAACTCGCACAGGAAAACGGATTATGGTGTATACGGCATCCTGGTGTATACATTTTTCGTTGCTTCCACGGGAAAGCGGGGAAACAAGTATACACCACACCACCCCGACGTCGTCCCCGACCCTACAAAAATCATGGGATTGAAAAACAGTCCGCCACTGGTAATGTATATGATCCAGTTTCCGAAAATACCATGATTTTTGTCACGGCGCCCCCCCTGCCTTGGACGGGCACCGCGGCGCCGTGACAGAAAAGTCGGAGTTCGGCAGCGCCCAACTCCCAGGATTTGTGTCACGGCGCCCCCCTGCCTTGGAGTGGCCCCGCGGCGCCGTGACAAAGAACCTGGGCTCGGCAGCGCCAAACACCAGGATATTTGTCACGCACCCCCCCTGCCTTGGAGGGTCCTCGCGGCGCCGTGACAAAAAAAACTGCGTTCGGCAGCGCCAAACCACAGGATGTTTGTCACGGCGCACCCCTCTGCCTTGAAGGGGCCCGGCGGCGCCGTGACAGAAAAAAACCTGAGCTCGGCAGCGCCAAACTCCAGGATTTTTGTCACGGCACCCCCCTCTGCCTTGGAAGGCCCCGCGGCGCCGTGACAAAAAACCTGAGCTCGGCAGCGCCAAACCCCATGATTTGTGTCACGGTACCCCGCTCTGCCTTGGAAGGGCTCCGCGGCGTCGTGACAAAAAACCTGGGTTCAGCAGCGCCAAACCCCCAGGATTTTTGTCACGGCGCCCCCCTGCCTTGGAGGGGCCCCGCGGCGCCGTGACAGAAACACCTGGGTTCGGCAACGCCAAACCCCACATTTTTTGTCACGGCACCCTCCCTGCCTTGGATGGGTCCCGCGGCGCCGTGACAAAAAAGCTAGGGCTCGGCAGCGCCAAGCCCCAGGGCTTTTGTCACGGCACCCCCCTCTGCCTTGGAAGGGCTCCGCGGCGCCGTGACAAAAAAACCTGCGTTCGGCAGCGCCAAACCCCAGGATTTGAGTCACTGCGCCCCCCTGTCTTGCAAGGGCTCCGCGGCGCCGTGACAAAAAACCTAGGCTCGGCAACGCCAGGATTTGTGTCACGGCCCTCCCCCATGTCTTAGAAGGGGCCCCGCGGCGCCGTGACAAAAACAAAACTGAGCTCGGCAACGCCAAGCACCATGATTTTTGTCACGGCGCCCCCCGTGCCTTGGAGAGGACCCGCGGCGCCGTGACAAAAGAATCCTGAGTTCGGCAGCGCCAAACTCCCAAGATTTGTATCACGGCACCCCTCGTGCCTTGACAAAAAACCTGGGCTCGGCAGCGCCCAAACTCAAGGATTTTTGTCACGGCACCCCCCCTGCTTTGGAGGGGCGCGCCGGCGCCGTGACAGAAAACATGGGGTCGGCAGCGCCCAAACAAAGGATTTTTGTCACGACCCCCCCCCTGCCTTGGGGGGGCACCGCGGCGCCGTGACAAAATAACTGGGGTTCGGCAGCGCCACACCCAAGGATTTGTGTTACGGCCCTCCCTGCCTTGGAGGGGCCCCGCGGCGCACTGACAAAAAACCTGGGTTCGGCAGCGCCAAACGCCCAGGATGTTTGTCACGGCCTTCTCCTGCCTTGGAGGGACCCCGCAGCACCGTAAAGAAAAAAGCTAGGGCTCGGCAGCGCCAAACCCTAAGATTTGCGTCACGGCACCCGCCTCCGCCTTGGAGTGGCCCCGCGGCGCAGTGACAAAAAAACGTGGGCTAGGCAGCGCCAAACCACAGGATTCTTGTCACGGCCCCCCCCTGCCTTGGAGGGGCCCTGCGGCGCCGTGACAAAAAACCGGAGGCTCGGCAGCGCTAAACCCCAGAATGTTTCACGCCCCCCCCCCTGCCGTGGAAAGACCCCGCGGCGCCGTGACAAAAAACATGCGCTCGGCAGCGCAAAACCCCATGATTTTTGTCACGGCACCCCCTCTGCCATGGAGGGGCCCCGCGGCGCCGTGACAAAAAAAACCTGGTCTTGGCAGCGCCAAACTCCAGGATGCTTGTCACAGCACCACCCCTGCCTTGGAGGGCCCCCGCGGCGCCAGGACAAACAAAAAATCTGTTTCGGCAGCGCCAAACCCCAGGATTTGTGTCACGGCGCCCCCGTGCCTTGGAGGGGCACCGCGGCGCCGTGACAAAAAACATGAGTTCGGCAGCGCCAGACCCCAGGATTTGTGTCACGCCCCCCAACTGCCTTGGACGGGGTCCACGGCGCCGTGCCGAAAAAACCCAGGTTCCGCAGCGCCACAGCAGGATTTATGTCACGGCACCCCCTTGCCTTGGAGGGGCCCCGCAGCGCCGTGACAAAAAAAAATCTCGGTTCGGCAACGCCACACCCCAAGTTTTTTGTCACGGCGCCCCCCCTCCCTTGGAGGGGCCCCGCGGCGCCGTGACAAAAAACCTGCGCTCGGCAGCGCCACACCCACCCTGCCACACACGGCCACCCACGGCCCCCCCTGCCTTGGAGGTGCCCCGCAGCGCCGTGACAAAAAAACATCGGTTGGGCAACGCAAAACCCCAAGATTTTTGTCACGGCACCCCCCGCGCCTGGGAGGGGCCCCGCGGCGCCGTGACAAGAAACCTCGGGTGCGGCAGCGCCAAACCCCAGGATTTTTGTCACGGCACCCTCCCTGCCTTGGATGGGCCCCGCGGCGCCGTGACAACAAAACCGGAGGTTCGGCAGCGCCAAACACCAACATTTATGTCACGCCGCTCCCCCTGCCTTGGAAGGGCTCCGCGGCGCCGTGACAAAAAACTCGAGTTCGGCAGCGCCGAACCCCATGATTATTGTCACGGCAGCCCCCCTGCCTTGGAAGGACCCCGCGGCGCCGTGACAAAAAACCGAGGGCTCGACAACGCCAACCCCCAGGATTTTTGTCGCTGCACCCCCCCTGCCTTGGAAGGGCCCCGCGGCGCCGTGACAAAAAAACTGGGGCTACGCCGATCCCCAGAATTTGTGTCACGTCCCCCCCTGCCTTGGAGGGGCCCCGCGGCGCCGTGACCAAAAATCTCGATTTCGGCAGTACCAAGGCCCAAGATTTTTGTCACTACCCCCTCTGCCTTAGAGATGGCACCGCGGCGCCGTGACAAAAAAAACTCGGGCTCGGCAGCGCCAAACCCAAAGATTATTGTCACGGCACTCCCTTGCCTTGGAGGGCCCCCGCGGCGCCAGGACAAAAAAAAACTCGGGCTCGGCAGCGCCAAACCCCAGGATTTTTGTCACGACCCCCGCCTGCCTTGGAAGGGCCCCGCGGCGCCGTGACAACACAACTGGGGCTCGGCAGCGCCAAACCCCAAGATGTTTGTCACGGCCCCCCCCTGCCTCGGACGGGCCCCGCGGCGCCGTAACAAAAAACTGAGCTCAACAGCGCCAAACCCCCGGATCTGTGCCCAGGAGGGGTCCCGCGGCGCAATGACAAAAAAAACCTAAGGATTCTTTGTCACGGCACACCCCCTGCTTTGGATGGGCCCCGCGGCGCCACCCCCCCTGTGCCTTTGAGGGGCCCCGTGGCGCCGTGGCAAAAAAACTGGGGCTCGGCAGCGCCAAACCCAAGCCCCCCCTCCCCTGCCTTGGAGGGGCACCGCGGCGCAGTGACAAAGAAGCTGTGGTTCGGCAGCGCCAAACCCCAAGATTTTTGTCACGGCACCCCCCGTGCCTTGGAGGGGCCCCGCGGCGCCGTGACAAACAAACATCAGTTCGGCGGCGCCAAACCCCAGGATTTGTGTCACGGCACCCTCTCTGCCTTGGAGGGCCCCCGCGGCGCCGGGACAAAAAAACTCGGGTTCGGCAGCGCCAAACCCTAGGATTTTTGTCACAGCACTCCCCAGCTGCCTTGGAAGGGCCCCGTGGCGCCGTCGCAAAAAAACTAGGGCTCGGCAGCGCCAAACCCTAGGATTTGTCACGGCACCCCCCTGCGCCTTGGAGGGGCCCCTCGGCGCCGTGACAAAAAACTTGGGTTCGGCAGCGCTAAGCATCTATGATTTTTGCCACGGCACCTCACCCCCTTCGTTAGAGGGGCCCCGCGGCGCCGTGACAAAAAAATCTGGGGCTCGGCAACGCCAAACCCAAGGATTCTTGGTCACGGCACCCCCATCCTGCCTTGGAGGGGCCCCGCGGTGCTGTGGGTTCGGGCGGCACTCGCCGCGGCGACCCACCCAGCCCGAGTATGGCGTCTCCTGATTCCTGGACGAAGCTCGTCACAGGGACCCACCAGCCCTCATGACTCTTGGCACGGAGATCGCCTCCCTTGATGCCTGTGTGCCACCGCTCGCTCCCGGGACCCACCCACCCCCAGGACCTCAGCCCGAAGAGAGCGTTTCTTGATGCCTGGGCGCCGTTCGCTGTAAGGGCACACCTCCTTGAAATGCCAATTGCAAGGCAAACAATTCGTAGTTCCTGGCCCGTTGGCTGAGCACAGGTCACCCTAAGATGCACCACCACCCCTCCTGCATATGCGAACACGCCCGTGCCAACCCTCCTCGGCCGGTGGGAGGGTGGCGCGCCGCGGGAAAGCCCCGCGCTGTTCCGAGCGGTCGAGGGCCCGTCCGGCAGGGGGCCGAGGCTCCTCGCCCAAGCGCGCCTTCAGCTCCCTCACCTCGGCGGCCAGCGCAGCCACACGCTCCTGCACCGCGGCCATGCGGGACCCGCCTGGCCTTCCACCGGTCGATGACCAACGTACCGGTTCGCCGACGGGGGGGGGGCCAGGAAGAGGGGGTGCAGTAGCACAGTATGGCCCGTACGCGGACGGAGAGGGGCAAAGATACGCAGTGAGAGAGGAAGAGAAAGGACAATTTAATCTGGGAGATTCCGTTGCCCCAGCCATGATAGACACACCCCTGGCCAGCACCCCCTGTTGGACACCCCCGATGCAGTTGGTGGTGCAATGAGGGCCGACACAGGCTGAGTGCGAACGGTGGAGCTGAAAGCGATGAGCACGCTGCGCTAGCACACGTCCTGAGGATCATCGTGCCAGCCTGGCAACAAGCCCGACCTCCTAGATAGCCCTTCTCACATCGCTGGTCTGAACTTGGACCCGAAGGCCCTTTCCCATGACCAATCTCTCATCAGGGGTCGTTTCTTGACGGTCCTGGGGCCCGGAGAGGGCCCTGGGAGCCAGAGCGGAGAAAAACCTCAGGACCCGTCTCCCTCAGGACCCCGCTCCTTCACAGCGAAATCCAGCGAGGATGCCGCCAGCGATGCAGGAATCCAAGTCTGGAAACAGGCCTGCCGCAGCGACCCGGCGAACCCATGGGCAGAGGCCACGAGCGCACTGCCTGAGCCAAACCGGCTGCAACGAAGGGGCGAACGCGAGGGCGCCAACAAAATGCAGCCGAAACAGGGTCACTAGATAAAAGACAGGAGCGAGACAAAAGTGGCACCACCATCACCGGCGCGAGAAGACAGGAGAGGTCCTCCTGGTGGTGTGGTTCCCGCTCTTCGCTCGAGACATCCCCCATCCTCAGCTCGGGGAGGCATCATGGACGTCCTTGCTAGAGGTGGCACCCCTGGTGGTGGTGGTGGTGGTGGTGGTGGTGGTGGTGGTGGTGGTGGTGGTGTCGGTTTTTCTTTCTTCCGACAAGACCGTGGGCCAAGAACGTGATCCCCATCGCAGAATACTAGAAGGCCGACAAATCCCCTCTAGAATGAGCACCCCGACAAGCGAGGCCCTTTCGTAAACGCACCTAGGGAACAACTCGACCAACGCAAGGCTGTTTAGCGAACGTCCAACGCTGTTCAGTTAACGCCGGTTGTGGGGTCGGGGTGGTTTTTCCTCCCTTGGCTGAAAGCAGAAAGGCTCCATTGAGATGCTTCCGACAAAGAACATTCCAAGGCGAAGCGGCCAAACACGAAGAACAGAAGGGTGCCCCTCCAAAGCCAAAGTTGTTCTTGGTCCTCGTGGCAGCCGTATACCTGGAGCGCCCGACGTTTTAATTCGACGGGGGATGCGGCGGCAACAGGAACTATTCATGACACGGTAGGTCCGTAATTACGGGGACACGACAAGCGCATGGTTCCTTCCCCCGTGAATGAATTCCTCAAACAGGATCTGTCATCGTCCTGCATAGCTCGAGCTGCAAAACTGCCAGGTGACACACACATTGAACGAGACACCAATCACTTGAAGACGCGTTTAGTGGCCGAGTGTCCACTCCAAGGGCTTTCAAATCTCTGATAATTCGTTACAAGTATCATCATCATGCGCTGCGAGGTCCAGGGAGGCACAAGTGGTCACTCGGGCTAGCTGGCTTCCATGAATGGCAGATTGGACACGTTCGCTTGCTACAATATGGAATTCCTGCCTGCCCGCGCGTGCTGAAAATGCCTTCCTGACCGCGCTTGCTAGTGTCGACTTGCGAGAAGAAAGTTTGCTGGTGTCAGCTTCACTGGCGACGCTGTCCTTCCTTGCTTGCTCGCTCACTCTTGCCTTCTGACCATCAGTCGCGCTTCCTTTCCCACGTGTGCTTGCTTGCTTCATCTCCTCCTTGAACGCCCGCGTTGGTTCGAACATTCGCTTACGTTTCTTACGCATTAGCCTCACTTTTGCTTCCACTGTTTTGGGCACACGCGATCTTGCTTGCTTGCTTGCCTGCTTGAATGCATGATCTTATGTGGCTGAACTTGATCACTTACTTGTTCGCGTACTCGCCTGTCCGCCCGCTCGCTTGCTCGCCCGTCGGCAAGCTCGTTGCATTGTTTGCGCGCGTGCGTTATCGTGCCCTTGCTCTCTCTGATTTGCTCACTCATTCGCTTGTCTGCTAAGATTTTTACTTGCGGGGAGGAGGAGGGTGGAGAAGAGACGGCAGAAAGGGGGAAGGAAGAGGGGAGATGGGATGAGAGAGGAAGGCGCTATAGCTGGTCACATCTGAGCTGGCATCCTGCAACCCACCCCATATGTCAGGTGAGTCCAAAGAGTGGGGTTCAAACTGCCCGTCAGCAGACTCTTGCCCAGGAAACTTGTCGATGATCCTCAGGACGTGTGTGGGCGCCAACGCGTGCTTGTCCACCGAATGCCTTCAGTACGAGGCAGGCGGCGAAATGAGAGCCAGACGCAAACAGACTGCGTTCTATTGGTGGAGCAGAACGGAGTAAACACGCAGTGAACCACTGGATAACTCCCGATCTGTCTGGTGACAGACCGTACGACTCGAAATCCAAAAAATGAACCACCGCAACGTCCGTCGCCGCACCGTCCTGGAACCTTGGAGGCCCCAAGCTCCCGAGGCATCCTTGGAGGACAACCCGAGGACCCAAACACCGTGCGATCAACCCGAGATCCGCACGTACTCGCCCGGCGGTGTGGCCACCGCGGCGGCCTGGCGGCCTCGACGGCGACGGCGACGACGAACTGGGAACAGCTGTTCGATCGTCAAATTCCAAACGAGGCGCTGCGACCCCCGCCGTGGCATTTCTTGAGTGGTCGGGTTAACACGCGTCCTGAGGATCTTCGAGCCTCCCGAGAAACGGGCGTGCCTCAAGAAGGCCCTCGGCGGGCAGCTGGAGTGGGTGCGCACGGCGCCCGCTGCTCTGCGAGGTCGCGCGGGGGCGGGGCCCGCCTGCAGCCCCCCTCTCCGAGACAGCCGGCGATAAAGAGCTCCCGACCCCCCTCGCACACACTGCACACGGCGGCCGCCAAGCCCGAAGTTCATCGGTGCTCCCTTGCGATCCCGCTTTGCACCAGGAACCGACGAAAAAGAATGTGCTCGATGCGCGGCCCGAGAGGTCCCGACCCCTTCCCCAGGGGTTATGGCTTTTCGTCTGGGATCATGATCATGGTCTGATTGTCTTGCGGCCCAGTGACGGGCCGGAGAGGCCGAGATCAAGGGAAAATGCCCAGATTGACAGATGCACGCTGTCGGAGATCTGGGCTCGCACGGTGCGGGCGCAGCGGGAGGCGTGTGGAGAGGTGCCTGCTGCTGCATGGACGCCACCCTGTCGCGCTCGGCCTGCAGCATCGCGTGGTGCATGTCCATTACTGCCGCGTGCGCCTAGGCGGGCAGGAGCAAAGTGCGACGGCGGGAGCGAGCGGGGCAGGGGGAACAGGGAGAGAGAGAGAGAGAGAGAGTCGGAGGGGGCCAGCAAAGACAGCGGCGGCCATCTGTGGCGGTTCTGAAACATTTCTGGCCTCCTGGAGGCTTCTTGTCGACACGGCTGGACGCGCCTCGAAAAACTGATCAGGGGTCCTGAGACGGATTTTGAACGGAGTCGGGCCGGGCTGGACGGTCGCCATTGACTCAACTGGCTCTCCTCCTCCTCCTCCTCCTCCTCCTCCTCCTCCTCCGGCCTCCCCTGCTGCTGCGCCTCCCTTTTACCGTCCCTCTTCTCCTCCTCCTCCTCCTCCTCCTCCTCCTCTTCCTCCTCCTCCTCCTCCTCCTCGTTATCATCACCATCACCATCACCATCATTACCATACGCATCGCAATTATTATCATCATCAGCAGCATCATCAGCATCATCATCATCAGCATCAGCAGCATCATCATCATCAGCATCAGCATCAGCATCAGCATCATCAGCATCAGCATCAGCATCAGCATCAGCATCATCATCATCATCATCATCATCATCATCATCATCAGCATCATCATCAGTATTATCATCGACATCATCATCTTCATCCGCACATCTCTTCCTATCTCTCTTCCTGACAATTCGCGTCCTTCCTCCCTGATGTCGCGGTTGTTGCTGTGTGCTCGTCCACCTGAGCTTCCAGGTCCAGATCTTGCTAATGCTTCTGCTGCTGCTCCTCCTCCTCCTCCTTGTTCTCCTCTTCTCTCCTCCATCCTCCTCCTCCCCGTTCTCTTCTCCCTCCCCTCTCTGTTTCATCTTCTTCTTTCTCCCTCATCCTTCTCCTGATCTCTCTCCTCCCCCCTCCACATCGCCGTCCGCCTCCGGCTGCTTGTCCTCTTCTGTCCTCCGCATCACCCCTCCTCCTTCGCCCTCGCCTTCACCCTGATCGTCGTTCTGTTTCGTCCTCCGCCTCCTCCTCCGACCCTTGCCACCGTCATTCCCCCTGCGTCGCAACCACTGGTTACAAGCAAAGCCGAGACATGCAAATGATTATAGCCACTGCCTTCGTCGCAGACGCCTCAAGAGGTTTCCGATAGACTCCGCAAGCCCCTGGGAAACCACATGCTCTGACATACATTCACTGGGGTATTCAATCTGGTATGCAACGTCAGAGATGTTTTTCGCTTCTAGATGAGCCCAAATGCCCCGCCACTATCCTTATGCTCCACAGAATGCCAAGCGGTGAGACCCTCGTTGTCGAATGCGGCTCCCCCGTCCCTTCCCCTCTCCTCCCTCGCCCCTGTGGACGGGGGTTAGGAGGCAAATCTTAGGAGGTCTCCGTGAGAACGATTGGAAGGCAGTCAGCTCGATTAAAAAGCCATGATCGGCAGACGTAAAGGTAGAGAAAGGGTAGAGGTGGGTTTTAATAACATCGTTGTACACAACAGCCCCTGGAATAATGACATGTGGGCATACAACTTGGTGGATACCCTGACCCCAATGTGTGATGATAACCGCCCCACTACGAGACTCCCGAGACTCAGCTGGATCAGTACGCCATATTAGGCGAGACTATGCGAAACGCAGCGGGAGTCATCAAGATAAGGTCAGATTAGACTGGACTTCGACAACACATGCGACGGCGCCGATGTTGACTTCAACATCCCATTAGCTCCGACCATGGGTGCAATGTGGAACCTGTCAGCATGTGCTGTGGTCAGGAGCTTCAACGTTGAGCGGCCGCGTGCCAACCAGCCGCGGGGCCCAGCCTGAAGCGCGGCCACTCGAGACTCCATCTGCTTCTGGAACGGGCTGGCCTATATCGGCAGGCAACACAACAGCATGCGAGGATTTACTAAACATCGACTGCAACAAACACGGATTTGCAACCAGCCTGAACTGCAAGTGCACCCTGTGCGCCACACTCAAGTCTGTCATCGTCAGTGCTTTTTGGTCTGCGGTATGGCTGTAATCCGCCGGCCCCCTTGTGGGGCCACCAGGCTGTAGGCCGGAGGTTCGCAGTTTCCTGTACCAGTTCCAGCTTCAAGTTTCTACTGTTACAGTTCTGCTTGTTGCTGCTTAATGTTCCTTGTTGACATCTTGCTGCTTACTGTTCCTTGTTCATGGGCCGCGCGAGGTGGGGAGGCCCAAAACAGGCAATTTTACAACGGAGAAATGGTATTGTCTGAATTGCTGGGGTGGGTAAAAATTCTCACCCCTCACACAGATCTGCGGGGTCAGGGTCCAAAAACACATAGGATTTGCAACATTTCTGAAATTCGGTGGCACCCCTCACGCAGATCGGCGGGGTCAGGGTCCAAAAACCCATGGGATTTGCAACATTTCTGAAATTCGGTGACACCTCTCACGCAGATCGGCGGGGTCAGGGTCCAAAAACATAAGGATGCCACATGTCTGAAATTCGGTGGCACCCCTCACGCAGATCGGCGGGGTCAGGGTCTAAAAATGCAAAGGATTTGCCACATTTCTGCCCATCGGCGGCACCCCTCACGCAGATCGGTGGGGTCAGGGTCCAAAAACACATGGGATTTGCAATACGTCTTAAATTCGGTAGCACCCCTCACGCAGGTCGGCGGGGTCAGGGTCAACAAAACACATGAGATTTGCCACATTTCTCAAATTCGGTGGCACCACTCACGCAGATCGGCGGGGTCAGGGTCAAAAAACACATTGGATTTGCTACATGTTTAAAATTAGGTGGCACCCCTCACGCAGATCGGCGGGGTCAGGGTCAAAGAACACATGGGATTTGCCATATGTCTGAAATTCGCTGGCGACCCTCATGCAGATCGGCGCGGTCAGGGTCCCAAAACACATGGGATTTGCCACATTTCTCAAATTCGGTGGCACCCCTCAGGCAGATCGGCAGGGTCAGGGTCCAAAAACATGAGGGATTTGCCACATTTCGGACATTCGGACCCCTCACGCCGAGCGGCAGGGTCAGGGTTCAAAAACATATTGGATTTGCCACATTTCTGAAATTCGGCGGCACCCCTCACGCAGATCCGTAGGGCCGCGACGTTTTACCAATCGCCAAGTGTGGTAACCCCTCTGGTGATCAATTGGTTTTGCTCATTACGAATCGGCCTCGCATGAAGTTCCGATACTGCTTCACGACAGCGCCCAAGCCTCATGATATAGCTCTTGCACAGCGCATTCTCCGAGAGAGGGGGCCGGCGGCAGGGGGCGAAGCCCTTACGGATAATCCATCGCTTTCGCTTTGAACGTGGTCTCCTGGACGCGGACTGATGCTCTGAATATGGCCCCATCAGCCCTCTGGGCGAAAACGGCTTAACGTGCGGACTCACCCTCCCGCGAAACCTCTCCCCAATCCCTAGGGGTCTGGACTGGAGAGCGCGAGGGGTTGGATGTCCAAGATGTCAAGATGGCCCCAGATAAATCACGAATGCCCAATACGCCACAAGATGGACCACACAGGCGGTCACCATGGTTGAAGAGGCCTCCAGAAAGCTCCAAGATGGCTGGAGGTGTCCCTAGAGGCCCCCTGGGAAGATCCCGACAGGCCAAACCTATGGCTGACAAGAATTGGCGTGTTTTATGGTGTTCGCTGACTCGGCTCGTCAATGTCTAATTGACCGCTATTGCCTCCACATGGCCCCTGGATGGTCCAACAGGGTTCCAAGTTGGGCACTGGAGAGATGATACCCAAGAGGATCCACCTAGGGTATCCAACGCGAAGGCACTCGTTTTCAGACAGCGGGACCCATTTCCTGGTCGGTTGCCACCGACACGGCCCCAATAGGGCATGAGAGGGTCCCAGAAGCGCGGCTAGAGAGCAATCCAGCTTCAATATTGGCCACATTGCTCACAGAAGATCCGAAGTTGATATTGTTGGGGATGTTTGGGCTGACGGATTTGCAACAGTGGCCCCAAGTTCGTGCCTGCCATTTCAGCCTAGCTCAGCTCGGCTCTGCGTAGCTGCAAACAGAGTGGCCTAGCGCTATGCTGCTCCCAACGTTCCTAAGGACCACATCCCAGAAATAATGTCGAGCACCCGGAAAAATATCGAAACGTGTCGAACGAGTGTCTCGCAGGGCACGACACGTGAAAACCCTCAAGTTTCGGTACTTTGTTCGAAATTCTTTCTGGTGAACAAGGCTATTGGAGCATCACAAGCCTAGCGCAGCCTCGCTTTGCCTGGCATAGCCTGGTTTCACTCAGCTGAGCTGAAAACTCCCTTGACACGTAGATCTAGCTTCAGCGTGGTGGGATGGCGAGTGGCAGGAACAGCAGGAACGGGGTGGGGGTGAGGGACGAAGGAAAACGACGACGAATGCCACAAGCTGCATTGGGAAAACAACACCTGGGGAGCGTCCAGCATGAGCGCCCTTGGGTAGACCCTGCTGGGGCGTAGGGATGAAACGAAATTTCTCGGCCGAGTCATCGTGGGTTGGCGACACACCCGCGCCCCAGCCTAGTCTCAATACTGCTCGCTTCCAATGCACGTGCGTCCGGGCACTGCTCAGCAATGCTCAGCCGACCGACCACACGACCCAAGAGGGGGAGGATCGGAGAGTTGGATGAAGAGCACATCTAAGGCGTGCGAGGGCAAAGGGAGGAGTGGACAGAAACAGGATGTGGAGGCAGGAAGACTATCATTGCGTTGAATGCGTGACATGTGCGCACATGGTGTCAATAATGCCCTCCAACACGTCTCTCCCTGTAGAAAAATGAAACTGTACGTGAATCTTCAAGTGGGCGTTCCATTGAGACGCGGCGCTTTCCCTGCTTTTGGCGGGCAGTCCTCCACAAATGCCGAGACTGTGCGTTCAGAGGGCGCCGTTTAGGAAACTCTGACGCAAAAAACTTCGATGCATCGATCGCCGTGCGACCGACGCTTGTATCTGCAAGCTCGCTGCCATCGAACCGAGTGACTGCAGCAACTCGCTCCCAGCTTGACACCGTCGGCACACATGTCCCCCACGAGTGGACACCACATTGCATTCGGGCCGCTCGATCCAAAAAACATCTTCCGCCCCACGCGATGTCCGCGGGCACCCTTATCCCCAAGAACAGCCTTCAATTGCAACCAGATCTCGCACTGGAAATAAGAACCGATGATTGCGTTGACTTTCATGTCTTCGGGCATCCCAATCCAATGCAATCAACACCACAATGCCGCACATCAAGGACAAAAACCGTTTCACCTCCTGCCCGCCAATCAACAAATTCCATCGTGTGTCGCAAACGTACCGTGACAATGTGATGCTCAACTCCCTGTAATAGTCAAGCAACCGTGTACTTATCAGCACGGACGTCTAGCATTCCTGATGTGACAGCGGCGCAGGCGGCGTAACCCCTATGGCCACTGCGCTGATGTGTTTGTCGACTGGGGGGGGCGTGGCGACGATATTTGTTCTGTTGCGATTCCCCGCTGACTTTCCTCAAGCATATTGGGCATGTCCGCCAACTTCTTTGCGGGTGGATTATGGCGTCCTCGTCTATTTCTGCGGACGTATCTTTGCATGCGAGCGGGCGGGCCACGACAATGCCCAGAGCATTCCCCATCAATGGCTATCATGTTGGTCTGTACCGCCTTGAACATTGCAACGAACTTGTCCTGACGTCTCTTGATCTCAGTGGCAAGGGCCACACTCTTGTTCCGCTAATCCTCATGCAGAACCCCTTCGGTGCTTGTAGCCTGTATCGCAACCCCCCATTCCTGCTACACACGCGAGCTTCAACAACCCCCTCAACCTACAACAAGACAACTCGTCGCCAATCTACGTTTCGAAAGTCCGAGCAGATTTTCTGAAATCGATGCTGAACCTCCCCATCTGGGGCGTGGGACGGCGCCAGAGGCGTCGCCAGGGCAACCTGCGCGTGTCCAGGAACTCCGCGCAGAGGATATCCGAAAACATGTCTTAATGTTGCTTGTCTCCATCGGGGTGCAATTGCGAACTTGAGCAGTGAGCTCCCTGCCGCAGGCCCCTAAAACCTGAACTGCGGCCTTGCCGCGAACAAAATGCCGTGCAGAACCCGCGCACCCAAGAGCCCAGCCGCCAAGCCGAGCCGCGCTCAGAGAATCCGTGCCGCGATGTCACGCTGGATCTGAACCCAGAACGGTGCTCAGCAGTGGTTCGCGTGCCGGTAGGTGCTCTCAAGAGATGTTCATCGAACTTTGGGCCAGACCCACAGCGTCCAACGTAGTCGCGTCGCTCACAAAATCAACATCTCGTGCTGCGACCAGAACTCCGCGTTAGCGCCGACTCGCACGCTCGGTGCGCCTCTCCCGTCCTGGACTGACGCCGCTCAGATGCAGGATGTCTGTAGGTAGCGCAATCAGAGAAGGGAGCGATCAACCTTGACGAACGTGGCAAAGAACTCCGTGCGCACAGTAATCGCGAAGCCACAAGGAACTTGAAGAAGCAACGGAGGGGCGTTCCTGACCCTGGCGCGCCGCGGTCACGAATAGGTTCCCAGCCCCTGATCTAAGGAACGGCGAGTAAACCAGAGTCCCTCCTGAGCCCGAAGTGGTCTTTACTTCAATTTCTTGACTACAGGTGTTGCTGGGTACGTTCAAACTGGGGGCGAAGGTGGGCGTGCGGACTGAACGCATCAGCGAAGCAATCGGGTGGGTACTAAGGATATTTGCAAAATAATCCCATATCGTGATCGGCACAAGAACATATGATTCACACAAAAATTGTTGAACGCACTCTTGTGCGTTGAGAATTGGTTTGCGACCTCGTGCCGTGAAAAGACCCATGTGGCCAGACCAAGCAAGTGCGATCGCTCCGATTGACGAGCGGTCATCTCCAGCCTCCCGAACAACTTTTCGGATACATATAGTGTCTACAACCCTGGCTCATCAAGTTTCAGCCAAGACATAAACCACAGTCGACAACAGGTTCTGACAGCAGAGCTTAAACTCAACACGCCTGCTTGCTTGACAGAGATGCACTCACGAACTCCACAATGTCCCGCACGTACCAGTGTGGCAACGCGTTTAGGTGTTTGAAGGTGGGGGATCTGGAGGAGGAGAGGCAGGAGGAGGAGGAGCAGGACGAGGAGGAGGAGGAGGAGGAGAGGCAGGAGGAGGAGGAGGAGGAGAAGGGGGAGGAGGAGGAGGAGCAGGAGGAGGGGGTGGGGGCGGGGGCGAAAGCCAGTGTGCGACTGGGCATCCTGGCCCCCAACTCAGGGGGGGCATGCTGGCACGCACCACTGCAGCAGAGACTCGACCAGTGAAAGGCCCTGTCACAAACACGATGCTGTGTGAAATGAATAACATGAAAGGGGCCCTGGGACACAAGACACACAAATGAAAAGATTCCCAAGATTTTCTAATACTTTCTATGTTTCTGTCTTCCCCGCCACTTCACATATTTTCCCACATTTTCTGGGGGATCGACGATGAATCGTGACTGTGTGTTTTTTTCCCCTACTGAGAATACACCTTCTTCTTCTTCTTCTTCCCCGCATCCTCCCTGAGGATGGGACCAGGCGCTGCTGACGACGAGGATCACATCCGGAGGCCCCAACACAAGGCGACCTCACAAGTGACCGTCACGCTAGGCAGAGAGAACACAACTCCTCCTGGGCGATGGCCAGGCCTCCCTGGAAGAAGCGGAGCGAAAAGCGGCACATTGCTGCCACCCGCCCTGAGACCGTCCCGCCGAAGGGGCGCTAGAACCGGGGGGTGCACACGCGCGCCGAGCACGCGCAAGACAGGTGCCACCCCGACCCCGGACGGGAGCAGGAGAGCGGAGCCACTCCGACCCCGGACGGGGCCCAGAGAGGACAAGCAGAACGCGATTGGCGATAACGATGACTGACAAGGAGGGGGAGGAGAAAGGACCAGCGATGACTGGCGATAGCGACATCTGGCGAAGACGAGGTCGGCGATGACCGACGAAGAACATGTGGGAACAAACAAACACCAATACCACTATACTCCTACGTAGGAACTCTCCCAGGATGCGTGCCGATCAGGATTTCAAGGCGAATCCGGCCGTAGCGGCGAAGGACCATCAGGAGGCCCAGAAGGGCGAAAACGAGGGAAGGGCAGCGGCATCGGTATCTCTTCCTCCTCCAAGCAGCAGCGGCAGTGGCAGCACGAGGCCTGAACTGGAGGCATTAGCTGCTGCGGGGGCCCTCGCGGGGAGAGGGCCGCGGCCGGCTGTAGCGCCACTCCTGCGGAGAGCCGAGATAGAAGAACAAGAAGCATCTGCATGCGGCATGCGGATACACTTCGGGCGGTCCGCGCGGATTCATTCGATTGGCGCTAGAATCCTCTGCCCCGGCGCACGGAGCGCGCAAGGGGCGGCGCCAGAGGCGCCGCCTGAGAGCGTCCACCGCCGACCCCCAAAAATCCGCGCGGACGCCCGAACGTCGATATTGTTGACGACTTTCGTCTTCGAGATCTTGCGGGGGGCTGAGACCCTCTCTGCCTGCGTTGCATTTTGTTGGGACGTGGGTCCCCTGGGCCCGCGGAAAGAGCCAGAGCGCGCCAGAACGTTATGAAATCGCGCAAGGACGCTGTTAGAGCGCTCTGGTCGATCTGGAACGGGTATTGTAGTGGCCTCCAGCCAGTGCCGCCGATCCGGGACGCTCTGTATGATGATGATGATGATGATGATGATGATGATGATGATGATGATGATGATGATGATGATGGTGATGGTGATGGTGATGGTGATGGTGATGATGGTGATGGTGATGTGACGATGGTGATGGTGATGGTGATGGAGATGGTGATGATCCCAGCCCCCCCTCCCCACCTCCCCTCCTCTCTCCTGTCCCCCTCCCCCTCTCTCCTGTCCCCCCCCTCTGTCTCCCCCTCTCTCCTTTCCCTCCCCCCCTCTCTCTCCTGTTCCCCCCCCCCTCTCTCCTGTCCCCCCCCCCCTCTCTCCCCACCTCTCTCCTGTCCCCCCCCCTCCCCCCCCTTCTCTTGTCACCTCCCCCTCTCTCCTGTCCCCTCCCCCCTCTCTTTTCCCCCTCACCCCCCCCTCTCTCCTGTCCCTCCCCCCCTCTCTCCTTTCTCCCCCTCCCCCCCTCTCTCCTGTCCCCCCCTCCTCCTGTCTCCTGTCCCCCCCCATCTCTCCTTTCCCCCTCCCCCCGGCCCCCTCTCTCCTGTCCCCCCCCACTTCCTCTCTCCTGTCCCCCCCCCTCTCCCCTTCCCTCCTCTCTCCTTCACCCCCCCCTTTCTCCTGCACCCCCCATCTCTCCTGCCCCCCCCCTCTCTCCTGTCCCCTCCTCGCGTGCCAATTCTTTAGTCGTTGGCGTCCCCCCCCTTCCCCCCGTGCAAGCGAAGCTTGAGCGACCCCCCCCCCCCCTCTCTCCTTTCCCCCCCCCTCGCGTGTCAATTCTTTCGTCGTTTGCGTCGCCCCCCCCCCACCCCCCCCTCCAGAGCGAAGCTTGAACGAGCCCAAGCCCACGCTCTCAGAAAACTCACACGCCGGATCGGCGGATTTCCTTGACCTCCCCTCCTCTTCTGGCTGAGCCTCACTCCGCGGGTTCAGGGGTCGAATCGCCCCCCTGCGAAACTCGTTGTTTTTCCTGTTGCCCTGCGTTTTTTTCCGCAGCGATTTTTTGGGTTTACGCACACCGCCTTGCGAAGCTGAATTGGCCGCGTGGTGGTGTGCTCGATTTGCGAACCTCGCTGCCTTTGGTTCGCGACCGCGTGGGACGGGAGGGGGGGCATCCCCCACGCATCCCCGTTGCTGCTGGCGCCTGAGGGGGGGGGGGGGGGGGCGGAGGGGGGCAAAAAACAACAACAAACACATGATAACTTAATGTGCTTGTGTTGTCTTCTTTTTCCTCCCCCCCAGTAGCTGGCAGCAACGGGGATGGAAGGGAGGGGCCCTGTCCTCCACGCTCCCCCCCCCTCTCCTCGCGCCCCCCTTCCCTCCTCTCACCAGTGCCTTGGGGAAAAACGGAGGACAATACCATTGTCTGTTCTAATGCCGTGCCCACCTAGTAGTAGTATTGCATAAACGTATAAACGAAGTGGCGGCACTGTAACAATCCTGTAGTCGTAGTCGTAGTCGTAGTCGTAGTCGTAGTAGTAGTAGTAGTAGCAGTAGTAGTAGTAGTAGTAGTAGTAGTAGTAGTAGTAGTAGTAGTAGTAGTAGTAGTAGTAGTAGTAGTAGTAGAGTAGTAGTAGTAGTAGTAGTAGTAGTAGTAGTAGTAGTAGTAGTAGTAGTAGTAGTAGTAGTAGTAGTAGTAGTCAGGTCGTGCAGTGAGATCCTACCCTACAGCGTTTGCTGTAGTAGTCGCACTGTAGTGTTGTAGTAGAGGTACTCCTCTACTGGAATACTCGAATACAGTAGTCTTGCCGCCAGAATGTGCACTAACGGTCGTACTGTAGGAATAATGCTGCACTATTGTGGAGCAGCGCTGCTATTGCGGTAATGGCGCTGTACAACAATGCTCTAGTACAGTATTTGCTAGAATCCGCCGATCCGGCGTGTGAGTTTCTGAGAGCGTGGGCTTGAGCTCGCTCAAGCTTCGCTCTGGAGGGGAGGGGTCGGGGGGGGACGCAAACGACGAAAGAATAACACGCGAGAGGGGGGGAAAGGAGAGAGGGGGGGGGGGTCGCTCAAGCTTCGCTCTGCAAAGGGGGGACGCCAACAACGAAAGAGTTGACACGCGAGGGGGGGGGGGAAAGGATAAGGGGAGGGGGGGCAGGAGAGATGGGGGGGGGCAAGAGAGGAGAGATGGGGGGGAAAGAGAGAGGGAGGGAGGTGAGGAGTGGTGGTTGGGGGGACAGAGAGGGGGGGAGGGGGGGACAGGCGAAAGGAGGCGGGGGGGAGGGGAAAGGAGAGGGGAGGGGGACGGAGGGGGGGGCTACAGAGAAAGAGGGGGGATGGGGGGGAAAGAGAGAGGGGGGTTGGGGACAGGCGAAGGGGGGGACGGTGGGGGGAGGGGGAAAGAAAAAAGAGGGGGGCATGAGAGAGGGGGGGTGGGTGACAAGAGAGAGGGGGAGGGGGTGATACACAAGAGAGAGATGGGGGAAGAGGGGGGGGGGGGGACAGGAGATAGGGAAGTGGGTGAACAGGAGAGAAGAGGGGGGGGGGGGAAAGGAGAGAGGGGAGGGGACAAGAGAGAGCGCCCCGGATCGGCGGCACTGGCCGGAGGCCACTACAATGCTAATCTACTGCTGCCTGAAGCGAATGTACCACAATACTGTTGTAGGAATACTCAAATGCCGCACCCCGCGCTGTTGTAGTAATCCGGTACTGAAATGCTGTAGCGGTGGCGCTGCAATACTCGTAGCACAGAACTGTAGCAGTCGTGCTCCAGTAGTGTTACTCTAGGACTGTACTGGTGGTATTATAATACCGTGTCTAGCCGGAACGGTATTGCTTCAGTGAAGTGGCAGCGCAGTGGCCATCCAATCAGTAGTAGTAGTAGTAGTAGTAGTAGTAGTAGTAGCAGTAGTAGTAGTAGTAGTCGCAGTAGTAGTAGTAGTAGTAGTAGTAGTAGTAGTAGTAGTAGTAGTAGTAGTAGTAGTAGTAGTAGTAGCAGTAGTAGTAGTAGTAGTAGTAGTAGTATTAGTATTGAGTATTATAGTAGCAGTAGTATCGTATAGTAGTAGTAAAGTATTGGTAGTCGCAGTCGTATTGTAGTATAAGTAGTGGTTGTGTTTTTAATAAAAAAAAAATATAAAATACGTAGTAGTAATAGGAGTAGTAGTAGTAGTAAGTGAGTAGTAGTTAGTATTAGTAATTCGTAGTAGTAGTAGTAGTAATAGTAATAGTAAGTAGTAGTAGTGTAGTAGTTAGTAGTAGTAGTAGTAGTATAGTAAGTAGTGTGAGTAGTAGTAATTTGTTGTTGTAGTTCGTAGTCGTAGTAGTAGTAGTAATATAGTAAATCATAGGGAGTAGCGTCGTCGTAGTCGTAGTCGTATAAGTAGGGTCGTAGTAGAAAGTATTAGAAGTAGTAGTCGTAGTAGTAGTAGTAGTAGTAGTAGTCGTAGTAGTAGTAGTAGTCGTAGTAGTAGTAGTATTGGTAGTCGTGGTAGTAGTAGCAGTAGTAGTAGTAGTAGTAGTAGTAGTAGTGGTAGTAGTAGTAATCGTATTAGGAGTAGTAGTAATAGGAGTCGTAATAGTAGTAGTAGTAGTAGTAGTAGTAGTAGTAGTAGTAGTAGTAGTAGTAGTAGTAGTAGTAGTATTCCAACTACTACTACTTGTAGTAGTAGTAGTGGTAGTAGTAGTACTAGTAGTAGAAGTACTTGTAGTATTAGTTGTAGTACTTGTAGTACTAGTAGTAGTAGTAGTAGTAAGTAGTAGTAGTAAAGTCCGTTAAGTAGTAGTAGTAGTAGTAGTAGTTGTAGTAAAGTAGTAGTAAGTAGTAGTAGTAGTAGTATCAATAGGAGTAGTAGTGGAGTATAAATAGTATAGTAGTAAAAGATGAAGTATAAAAATAAGAGGTAGTACAGTACAGTAGCAGTAGCAGTAGTAGTAGTAGTAGTAGTAGCTAGTAGGTAGTAGTAGTATAGGGTTGCACCTGGTCCAGGGGTGCACATGGTCTTCGTGTCGCTACAAACCTCACCTTCGTGTACTCTTCTTTTGTATCAGACCTAATTGAACTCCTACAAGGGGAATTACGAAAACCGTAGTTTCAAACCTGGCCTTCGTGTCTTTCGCGCCAATGCCTACCTGCGTGCACTATTCGCTGTAGAGTCTGTAGATTGGATTCGCATTAGAAAGCGAACAAAAACGGCAGTGTTACACCTGTCCTTCGTGTCGACGTCGGATTTGGAGCAACCGCCACTGCCAGCCGCTTCATTTCGGCACAACCCTCTCGAGGATCGTGGGCCTGGCCCTCCGACGCGCGATTCCGGCGCGTACTTCACTAGGATCGTGGCCCTGGTCCAATTGGGAGCGCTGCCGAAGGCCCACCGACGTCCAATTCCAGCACGCCGCTCACGAGGATCGTGTCCTGGCCCACCTGGGAGCGCTGCCGACGGCCCACCGATGAGCAATATCGACGCACCTCTCACACGGATCGTAGACCTCGCCACATTTGGATCGCCGCCCGACGCTGAAGTTCGGCACACCTCTCACATGGATCGTGGCCCTGGCCCACTGTGGAGCGCTGCCGACGGCCTACCGACGCCCAATGCCGGAACACCCCTCACGAGGATCGTGGCCCTCTGGTCCACTTGAGAGTGGGTTTTCATAAGGACG